AGGGAATTGGGGGAAGGTGGAAATTTGGAGAAGTTGGAAATTGGGAAATTACGGAATTAGGAAATTATGGAATTGGGAAATTAGGGAATTGGAAAATTAGGGAATTGGGAAATTAGGGATTTGGGAAATTAGGGAATTTGGAAATTAGGGAACTGGGAATTGGGAAATTGGGAAATTGGGAAATTGGAAAATTGAAAAATTGCAAACTTGCAAAATTGAAAAATTGAAAATTTGAAAATTTGAAAAATTGAAAAATTGAAAAATTGAAAAATTGAAAAATTGAAAAATTGAAAAATTGAAAAATTGAAAAATTGAAAAATTGAAAAATTGAAAAATTGAAAAATTGAAAAATTGAAAAATTGAAAAATGGAAGAATTGAAAACCTAAAAAATTTAAAACTTGAAAACTTAAAAAATAGTGAATTTGAAAACCTAAAAAATTGAAAACTTGAAAACTTGAAAAATTGAAAATTTCCTACAAGCGTGTAAAGAGCCACAGCAAAAATTAAACGTTAAATGTATACATGGTCCAAAGAAAGATCCGCAATAAAAATTCAAAGTCACACAGTCTATGCAATTAAAATCGAGTATCGTTTTCTTCGATAGATGTCTAGAGTGTATCGAGTGCAAACGTCGAAACAAAGGCAGAGATCATTATAATACAGGGAATCGGAGAGATCCACGAAACGTGTAAGACCCTTGCAACAGAAGCCCACAAGATTGTCAAGTGTCAAAGCCTCGTTGGATTATCGTGCTCTCTTGAGTTAGTCGACTCGGCAATGCTCGAGTATCCTCGACGAGGCACATTCTAGCTTTCGAGGTAGTAAAAAAGAAGACCGGGATTAAAGAATCGTACGTGTAGAAATCGCCATCAGTTTCGCTATCTTTAAACATTTAATACTTTAATCATAATTGAATGGACGTATTGGCGCGGGTTGCGCGACAGAAATTGATCTTCTTTAAGCTCGTCACTGTATAAAGTTTCATAAATTTCATGGAGGTTTCTATTAGCTTAATCCGTGAACTCGAAGATGAGCTTTTTCTCGAATGCCCTATAGATCGCGACTTTTCATCAGGCGTTACCTTCTTTTACTGCGCCGCCCAGTTTTAGACCAGACTCTTAGTCCGTCGGGGATTATCGGAAGCTCGGTAGCGAGCTCGGATTTTTCGATTCGGCGGAGGAACAAGTCGATTGAAACAAAAGGAAAAGCGTAGATGTGGCTCGGGAGTTGTACGATTCGGAAGGGACAAGGAAAACAGTGATTCTCAAGTTTTTGAAGAATAAATACACGTGTTGACTAGTTTACAAAATTTTATTTTTTATAAAATTTAAATTTGCAAAAATCTATAGAATCCAACTTTCTATCTTTCAAAGTCCCTATGTACAAATTTTTTAAATTAAAAAATCACTAGATTCCTAATTTCTATCTTCCAAACTCCCTAGATACAAAATTTCGAAATTGAAAAATCCCTAGATTCCTAATTCCTATTTGCTAAAATTTCTAGAGCAAAAATTTCGAAATTACAAAATCCCTAGATTCCTCATTCCTATTTCTCAAAATACCTAGTTTCCAAATTTCGAAATTACAAAATCCCTAGATTCCTAATTCCTATTTCTCAAAATACCTAGTTTCCAAATTTCGAAATTACAAAATCCCTAGATTCCTAATTTCTACATTTCAAAATTCCTAAAACCAAAATTTCGAAATCACAAAATCCCTAGATTCCCAATTTTTATTTTCCAAAATTCCTAGTTTCGAAAATTCGAAATTACAAAATCCCTAGATTCCTAATTTCTACATACCAAAATTCCTAGATCCAAAATTCTTGCTTTCCAAATTCCCTAGATCCAAAATTCTTCCTTTCCGAATTCCCTAGATTCCAAATTGCTAAATTACAAAATGCCTAGATTCCTAATTTCCATTTTCCAAAATCCCAAGATTTGAAATTCCTAAATTACAAAATCCTTAGGTCCTAAATTTCTTAATTAGTAAATCCCTAGATTCTTAATTTCCATTTTCCAAAATCCCAAAATTTGAAATTCCTAAATTACAAAATCCCTAGGTCCCAAATTTCGAAATTAATAAATCCCTAGATCCTAAATTTCTATGTTCTCAAATCCCTAGATTCCAAATTCCTAAATTAAAAAATCCCTAGATCCCGAATTCCAAAACTACCAAATCCCTGGATCCCAAATACCTATATTGAAAAATCCCTAGATCCCAAATTCCATAACTACCAAATCCCTAGATCCCAAATTCCAAAACTACCAAATCCCTAGATCTCAAATGCCTAAATTACAAAATCCCTAGATCCCAAATTCCAAAACTACCAAATCCCTAGATCCCAAATTCCAAAACTACCAAATCCCTAGATCTCAAATTCCTGAATTACAAATCCCTACATCCCATATTTCTATTTTCCTAAATTCCCAAATTACCAAATCCCTAGATTCTATCCCTAAATTCTTAAATTACTAAATGCATAAACTTATATGTAATAAAATTAGTGACTTATATATAAGTAAATGGAATGAATAAGGAAATGGAACGCGTGCAAATAAAATAAAAAGAAAATCATAAAAATTTAACCATAAATTTAAAAAGAACGTAAACCTCAAGTCCCCGATCTCATTACGTAAACCGTGTCCGACCACTTAAAATTCCGAGCGACAAAGTAAGAAGAAAAAAAAAAGAAAGAGCAAATAACTAAAATAAAGAAAGCTCGCACTTTAGAACGAGGATTAAACCGTGAGACCGTTCTCCCTCGAAACTTATTCGCAAAGCGTTGAATTTCAGAAATTCCGGCATCGGGAGATTTATGAATTTCAGTTAATGCATCTTAAATTCTCGAAATGTTTCGAGCAACAGCACATGTACCTCATAAATCTTAGCCAGACTGACGCTTTCTGTTACAGAGTTGGAGAAAGGACGACTGCCGCCACCTTGACGAACTTAGAACTGCGAACTACGAACTTCTAGAAAGCCAGGAGGGCGTGCGACTCTCCACGGAACCCTCTCGAGTTTCCTATCCAGGAACACGTCAACCGGTGTGTTCGTAATAAATGGTGGATAACCTTTTACCTGGCGGCGATATTTCAAATACAAACTTCCACTGAATTATGAATAAATGACGCTTGCCCGTCAAATTTAACTTCGCCGGAGTGTTCATCTCGCAGTTATTCGAATACACCGAAATCTCGGAAACTTCAGCTCCAGATTTCCTTCACCTTACAACCTCTCACCGGGTCAATTTTTCGACGTATATTTACAAGAGTTCCATAGAGTTCGAATTTCCATAAAATTCACAAAAAAAAGTGTTAACGAATCCAGTGGTTATTAATCAATAACGATGACATAATATGATACATTTCTGCTCGAAAACCGGTGACAAAAAAATTTGGAGAAGAAGATCGTAAGAATCGAAGGTATATAAGTGATCATTGGTGGGATGTCCCCGTGACAAAAGGGCACGTGGTGATGTCTTGGTGTTGTTGGTGCTGCGACAACCTCGGCGGTGCCGGTTCTTCAAGTGCTGGTGCTGGGGGTGTTGTTACCGGTGCATCTGCTGGCAGTGTAGTCGTCGACGGAAACAGCAATAACGCCGGTGGTGGTGGTCTCGGTATTGCTTCCGGTCTTTCTGCGATGCTATCATTGATCGTCGTCACGGTCGCCATCAGTACGGGAGAATGGCTTCTAACGGAAGAGAAACTGCCGAAAACTTCATCGAACGTTTCTGCGGAACCTGACAGCAAAGTTACCTACAGTGGCCTGTGGAGAGTCTGCGTTGCTACAAGTAAGTACTTCCGGGTCACTTTATGCGGCCAACTTCGTCTCATAATTACCGTCGTGCACAGACATTTGGGGCTTAATGTTCGTCTTGACGGATCGGACTGTTTCAAGAATTTATTGTTACTACACGTTCACTAGTATTTACGTTTAATATTACATTACTGGTATTTAGTAGAATTTATGTTTTATGTTCGATAATGTTACTTTGCTGACGTGATCATTTGAGAACTTAATATTTGTATTATATACAGAGAAGCTCATTTAGGGATCATTCAGAGCGCCAGAGTTGCGCACGCAGCTAGAGAATGCAACCGCGTCTGCGCGCGCAGCTAGCGACTGGAATTGCGTCTGCGCGCGCAGCTAGTGACTGCAACCGCGTCTGCGCGCGCAGCTAGCGACTGCAACTACGCTTGCGCGCGCGGCTAGCGACTGCAACCGCGTCTACGCGCGCAGCTAGCGACTGCAACCGCGTCTGCGCGCGCAGCTCTCGCGTTCCGATTGATCCACCTTCTTCCTCAATAATTCAAAAACGAAGCTTCAAATCACATTTCTGCAAAGGGAAATCTTGTTCAGAATGACATCCCCTACCACCCCTTTCATACACCTACACTAGTTACGAGACAACCATTTATAAAACCCATAAATCCACTTCGACGTTACCGATCGCAGAAGTCGCCTTTTTCATGCATTAAGAAAGAAATCGGTACAACGAAAACTCGCGAAGAAAGTATCAAGGCTGAAAATTGTTTGGAGCTTTCTTTGAAAGCACCTAAGCACTCTCAGGGGAAAATCGTATTTAAGGAAATCTAATTTGTCTTTCGAGGATTTTGCCAAGGAACCGTTAAAAGCCACGATCGCCACGGACCGTTGCTTATTCACCACAAGTTGGTCCGCAATTTCAGAAAATGCGACTACCACTTTTTTCGTCGTTTTCTCTATGAATTTTCTGTTACTATTTTGATATTTAAGAGTCGACATCTTTCCATAAATTAAGAAATAATTTTTATAAATTAATTCTTCAAAAATATTACTAGCTGACATGTGGCTGCCGCCATTAAAGTGTAAACTGACACACCTGGTAAATTACATTTTTAAATATCTCCCACACGTTCTCTTCATGAATTTATCAAGAGATTGTAACACCGTGGCCCCACGAAAAGAAACCATTAAACAATTAGCAGAAAATTCGTTTATCTTCGCGCGCCCACATTTTTTCATCGCGGAGATTAACTTTTAGTTTCCGAGTCTCTCGGGTGCCACATATTCCGAAACTCTTCTAAAACTGTTCATAAACACTCGCGGGTGTCCGGTGAATATTTCGTAACGTTTTTCCACGTGACAGTTTTTCCAGCGCGCATTACACTAATAGAATTAAACGACTATCGCTAATGGTTTACTTCCATTTTATCGCCCGTTGTATTCGTCAGAGTTTTAAAATTTCCAACGGCGAATTACGCTTTTAAAAAGTGTATCCTTCATTTCGAGATATCGTCGCCAGTTTCACACGGCTGTTTTGCATAGCCGTTTTGCAGCAGTTTTCTTAAATATTTAACGGGCAAGCCTAGCGACTGCAACCGCGTCTGCGCGCGCAGCTCTCGCGTTCCGATTGATCCACCTTCTTCCTCAATAATTCAAAAACGAAGCTTCAAATCACATTTCTGCAAAGGGAAATCTTGTTCAGAATGACATCCCCTACCACCCCTTTCATACACCTACACTAGTTACGAGACAACCATTTATAAAACCCATAAATCCACTTCGACGTTACCGATCGCAGAAGTCGCCTTTTTCATGCATTAAGAAAGAAATCGGTACAACGAAAACTCGCGAAGAAAGTATCAAGGCTGAAAATTGTTTGGAGCTTTCTTTGAAAGCACCTAAGCACTCTCAGGGGAAAATCGTATTTAAGGAAATCTAATTTGTCTTTCGAGGATTTTGCCAAGGAACCGTTAAAAGCCACGATCGCCACGGACCGTTGCTTATTCACCACAAGTTGGTCCGCAATTTCAGAAAATGCGACTACCACTTTTTTCGTCGTTTTCTCTATGAATTTTCTGTTACTATTTTGATATTTAAGAGTCGACATCTTTCCATAAATTAAGAAATAATTTTTATAAATTAATTCTTCAAAAATATTACTAGCTGACATGTGGCTGCCGCCATTAAAGTGTAAACTGACACACCTGGTAAATTACATTTTTAAATATCTCCCACACGTTCTCTTCATGAATTTATCAAGAGATTGTAACACCGTGGCCCCACGAAAAGAAACCATTAAACAATTAGCAGAAAATTCGTTTATCTTCGCGCGCCCACATTTTTTCATCGCGGAGATTAACTTTTAGTTTCCGAGTCTCTCGGGTGCCACATATTCCGAAACTCTTCTAAAACTGTTCATAAACACTCGCGGGTGTCCGGTGAATATTTCGTAACGTTTTTCCACGTGACAGTTTTTCCAGCGCGCATTACACTAATAGAATTAAACGACTATCGCTAATGGTTTACTTCCATTTTATCGCCCGTTGTATTCGTCAGAGTTTTAAAATTTCCAACGGCGAATTACGCTTTTAAAAAGTGTATCCTTCATTTCGAGATATCGTCGCCAGTTTCACACGGCTGTTTTGCATAGCCGTTTTGCAGCAGTTTTCTTAAATATTTAACGGGCAAGACTTACGAGATCCCTCGAGTAACGTTCGTAGTCCGACTTTAATACGTGCAGTCCTCATGGCTGAATAATGGCCTCTGTTTCTGCTGGAATTCGTTCGTCGCGAAGTTTTTCCGGAATTCTCGCGCAATCGTTAAACTACTAATGCAAGGTTATTTACAAACTCGTGTTTAACTACGCTAATGTAGAAATTTTTTTTCCGAGGATTTTTCGGAGGCATTAAGTTCGAATTTACAGGTACAATTTGCAAAACTTTGGAGATATTCAAATTTTATATTTTTTTATTTTGTAATTTAATTTATAAGTTCGTGTAAATTCAATATGTTACGAATGTCCTTATAGTACTCAAGCTACACATGACGCGCTCACGTTTAATTATTCGTTTATCACCGTCAGAAAAGAACCGAAATACACAGCTTCGGCAATAATAAAACGTCACGTTCGCTCGTGTTTTTCTAGCAGTTTTAATTCCGCGGTCAGACGACCGCGTATTACTTATTCCTGGGGCATGAAAATTATAAATCTTTTTATTTTCTGTTAACTTCCATAGTTTGCGACAGTGCTGTCGAGGTGCACGCTGGTCCAGGCTTAGCTGCATCGCTGGACACGTAGCTGTACGTGCTTCAAGCTTTGCATATTAATGTCTAAACGGAGTCGTGATACTGCCTGGATATTCCAGCGCTATAATTTGCAGTCCTTTGGCGACATAGTAAATGTTTCGTTACGGTCAACAATCAAATGTGTTCTTTCTCCTCCACATTTTTCAGCGAAATACTGATATCGAAAAAAATTATACGGAAAGTCTGTATGTGTCGGGGTAGTAGAGACGATTAAACGAATTGGGATTTCTAACGGGCTACATATGTCAATCAGCTACGATGACGCACTTAAACTACACATGTCGCAGTTAAACTACATATGACGCACTCAAGTTACATGTGATATCAAGTATCAAGCTAAACTTGATACCTGAAACCTGATACTTGGACCTTGAAACCTTATATTGAAACCTGCCACTTGATACCTGAAACCCGATACTCAGAACCTGAAACTTGATATGTGAAACCTGACACTTGATACCTGAAACCTGATATCTGAAACATGATACATGATACCTGAAACCTGATACTTGTAACTTGATACGTACTTTTACCGACCAGACTTGTAACTCGATACTTGAAACTCGATATTTGAAACCTGATACTTGGTACCTGAAACCTGATACTTGGAACTTGATACGTACTTTTATTTTGCTGCGTACTTGATGACTCGAGAGTGACTCTTCGAAGAATTTTTACGTTTCACAAAAGCTCGGAGTGGGCTAACAATTTTTGTGACATTACCGAGGGAAAACAGTTTCTGATTTTCTATCGGTTTAGCTAAAATTCGGCTGGAGATGGAAACGCGAGTGACGTATGAAGCGTGTCTTTTCCCGCAGTGAAAAGTAATAAAAGCAGCAATACCACGGCACGAGAGAAAGCTGCAGACTCTATTGCTAAGGTTGAGGCTTCACAGATGTGACTACCAAACTATACTGGGAATGTAATGAGCCCTTGACACTGTTTCAATCTTAAATTTTATGAAGCTAAAAAGCCCTGCTTAAATTAGATATCAAAGTAAAAAGTATTTCAATTTGACAAGTTCCCTCGAAATACGTGAAAACGAAATTCGTTCTGGAATTTAAGTACATTTTTAATAATTGATTTTCCGATTCCGTCACAGAGGACCCTCCTGATGAGCACTGCAGAATGACATTTAATTCATAACACTCGAAAAGGATTACCATTTCACTTTGCCATCTCTCGAAGCAAACTTGACATATACTGTACGTACAACGTAATGTAATGAAACGTGCATATTTCTTCCACTGCGTGCGAGGATTTTATTATGTTGCAAGAACGTTTTTTGCTTCGTAGCTCCTTGCTTTACTGTTTTATAATTCAATATTTCCCTGCTGTGTCATTCGCGTTCAAAGCTTAACGAAAACAGTCTCTGTGTTACAATCAAAAAGTCCAATTAAGAATTTTGCAAACTGGTTCATGCATTTGTTCCGACTAGAGCTATTTTGTATATTCATGAAACATTTTTATTCAGCTACAAGACCAATATAGACAGTAAACTTTAAATTTGTGTACAATGCAAACTTGACGTGCTACGAAATTAATTATTTAGAATATTTTGCTGCAATTATTTATGTCAATATGTTAGAATTACTATTTGTTACAATTCTCAAATTTTGTACAAAAAATTCACACGTAGCTTTGATAAAAAAAAAACATTTTATAATGCAAATAAATTTCTTAAATATTATATAGCGCTATGTAATCACTATCAGATTT